TGAACCGGCTGTGTCACCGGGGCCGCTTGTGTCCTATTACGGTGTGTGTGATGCTGTATCCATGACGCTGTATGTCCCCAGCTGTGTGCGGTACTGGTTGGGGGGCTGTGAGTGGGTGGGTGTGTGAGACACTGCATGCATGACGCTGTACAGCCCCAGCTCTGTGATGCTGGCATGTGTGTCTCTGTGTGATCACCCCCAGGTGGCATTTTGTTGCCAGGCTGGGACTGGCACTGCCCCTGTGATCCTGCATGTCCCCGGCCTGGTGTTACACCAGTTGTGTGTGCAATACACCCTGTTGCTGGCTGCTGTTGTACATGTGTGTGAGGCTGTTGGCACATGGGAGGTGTCCCTGCCTGACATTGGCTTTGTGTACCCTTGTGCATGTGATGATAATGCTGTCAGCATATGGGGGGGGTGTCCATCCCTGCCTGATGTTGTCCCTGTGTACCCTTGTGTGTGTGTGTGTGCGCGCGTGCGTGTGCGATGATGCTGTCTGCAATTGGGGGGGGTCCCTGCCAGCTGTTGTCTCTGTGTGCGTGTGTGCATGTGCAATGATGCTCTCAGCTCATGAGTGTGTGTGTGTCCCTGCCTGACATTGTCCCCATGTGTGGTGACACCAGCGTGTGGGTGCCAGTGTGATGCTGCCACTGTGGACTGCCACGTGCATGACATTGTCTGTGTGTGGGGGTGGGGTGAACAACATGCCAAGGCGTGCGGGGGCTTTGTGTTGCCACGGGGGCTGCCTGTTGTCCATTACCCTCTCGTTTCAGGGGCTGGAGAGGGCACAAGAACCCCCGTACAGCCCGGGGGGCGGGGGGCAGAGCCACAATATGCCTCTCATACGCCATCAGAGCCCTTTCACACCATTCACGTGTCCGTAGAGCTTCCCCTTTCTGGGCCACACTAGGAACTGGGCCCATTTCTCAGAAGGGGAAGTAAGAGGCCGGGGAACCCCCCCCGTCTGCCAGAGGCCCCGATTCGGCTCGGGGGCCTTGGTGTCTTGTCTCGGGGTTCCCGGCACCGCCCCCAGGCACCCTTCCCAGCGCGCGTGGGCAGGGCGGAGAGTCCCAGTGCAGCACAGCGGGGGTGGGGGAAGGCCCGGGGGGGGCAGGATCAGGGCCACACCAGCGGGGCTGTGTCCCCCACCCTGGGGTTGGGGGTGGAGAGCATGGGGCTACCTCTGACTGGTGGAGGAGTTGTGCATCCTGGACACCTGGGTTATGTGCGTGTGTGTGTGTGCATGCGTCCCGGACACCTGGGTTGTGTGTCTGTTCCGTGGGCATCTGCGTCCTGGACACCTGGGTTCTGCGCGCGCATGTCTGTGTCTGTTCCAGACACCTGGGTTCGGTGGGCATCCGTGTCCTGGACATCTGGGTTGCGTGTGTATCTATGTGGGCACACGTGTCCTGGGCACCTGGGTTGCATGTGTGTCCGTGGGCCCATATTGCATTCATCTCTATGTTCCATGAGTGTGCCAGACACCTGGGTTGTGTGTGTGTGTGTGTCCTGGACACCTGGGTTCCATGTGTGTCTGCGTGTAACCACGCAGACAGGAAGCAATTCCTGTGGCGCCAGCCCTCCTGGCCCATTCACACGCTCGCGCTCTCTCTCTCTCTCTCTCTCTCTCTCTATGTCTATCTCTCTCTCTCCCTCTCTGCTCCTCG